AACCACAGGTCCAAAGTATGATAGACAGTTTGTAGTTGGGGGAAGGGAGGTTCTCCAGTCAGGTGTTGACTTAATGAGTAGGTGCTTCTGGACTGCCCATCTCATGCTGGGATCATGGGCCCACTCCCTTCCTTACTAGGCCGCGCTCACGGGTTGGCGTGAAGAGGGGAGCTTGCCGGCCTAACTTCGACGAGTGTAATAGGCGGTACGCACGCCTGGGAAGCTCCTCGAATCCCTTTATGTACCCTGTGGTATCATTCCCTAATTACCCCAATGCCACAGGGGTTTGCGGAGAGGAATTTGCCTGCTCTGAAACCAAAAGCTCATGTTTTTACGTAAATGGATATATTAAAAGTCAAAAGCAAACCAAACCCACTATAATAAGATCCAAACGATGTTGCCACCTAAGCCTGATACATACTTATTAAGAGGGTTTGAGGGAAGTCTTAAATCTATTAAATAGCAAATGCCAAGGTACAAAGTGGTTTCTCCACAGCAGTTCAGCTCGGCTTCCTGCTGTGTAGCTGGAGATTACACTGAATCCAGGGCACACTTTAGAAACATTTTCCTCTAGTGACTTAAATACATACATATATATACATATATATATGTATATATATATATATAAAATAAATAAAAAGTTTAGGATAAAAATGCTTTAATCCTCCTCTCTCTAGCTTTACATCTCATTATTCTGAGTAACTGATCTGTGTGAAAACATTCTCAGTTTCAGTTTAGCTAAACCTCTGAGTCGCAGGGAACAGCTTTTAAATTGCTCCTACAATTCTTATCAATCAGCTGGGTCTGTGTAAAGGAACTAGGAATACGGAAACCTAATCACTCCCTCTGTGAAAAATCACCATGTCTCTGTGATCAGAGGAAGAGCAGATCCTAGGAAGCTCTCCACCCCCCCACCCCAGATTTGCACCATTTCCTGGCTATTTCATTTTAATCAGGACGGTGCTGAGCTGATCTATTACTTCATAAGTCTCCCGGGCAAGGGTGGGTGTTACTGATACATGTCTTAGGAGAGCCCAGGGCCAGATACTCCCATCAGTGGAAACTCATGTTGCAAGCACGCTGTTTGCACATAATAAGATAGGTTTCCTTGGCAAACTGCTCCATCACACACGCAATCAGCGGTGGGCGGCAGTCAATGCACACATTTTGGGGAACGCATCATGGTATTTTTATTGGTTTTCTGTATTTTTCCCTTTGTTGTAAAAGAATGGTATCAGAGTTCAATTTGCAGAGAGAGATGAGGAAAACTGAAAATGAGCAGGAAGGAGCCCATAAAACCACCCAGGCTGGTCATTCAGCGAATCCTTTTATGGTTAGTGGCTGTCTATTTACTGCATTCTACCAGGTCATTATTCTTGGGGATAATTTATCTGACAAATTGCCACTGGGTAAATTTTCCATCATCAATGAAAAAGACGCCGGCTTCAGAGGCGAGAAGTGCTACCCGAGGAGGTGTGAGATGTATGTGTGTTGTATCTGCTCTTCCTTTTTTGCTATGTACAGTGTGAATGCTTCCCTTTCAAGCTTTGCCTGATTGACACAGACCTTAAGAGATTTACAGACGCTGGACTAGAGGAAATCCACCCACATTTGAGTAAACCAGATGATTACAATGAAGCTCTCTTGGGTTGAAACTAGCTCTTGTTATTATACTGGCTTACTTAGCAGCAAAAAAAATAAAAATAAAAAAAATAAAAAATTAGGATGTAAAACTGGCAATGAATTTATCAGAGGACACTAAAAGATTTAGTCTGCCCATGGAGGTAGGTAGGTTAGTAGATAGGCACACGCAAAATCATCTTATTGAGATTTATACCTCAAGAAGATGATCATATCAAAGGATTGTATTGAAGGGTGTCCTCATTTTTAAGTGTGGAATGTATTTTTTTAAAAGTATTTATAGGGACTGGGGCGCCTGGGTGGCTCAGTGGGTTAAAGCCTCTGCCTTCAGCTCAGGTCGTGATCTCAGGGCCCTGGGATCGAGCCCCGCATCAGGCTCTCTGCTCGCAGGAGCCTGCTTCCCCCTCTCTCTCCCTGCCTGCCTCTCTGCCCACTTCTGGTCTCTGTCTGTCAAATAAATAAATAAAATCTTTAAAAAAAAATAAAATAAAAGTATTTATAGGGACTAAGGATATCATGGGAAGCCCCTAGCTCACCCTCCCCTCCCTACAGCAGCTCTGAGAAACTGAGCTGTGTCTCACGTTGAGCACTGGTTAAGTGAGGTTGGAGGTGCTAATACTGATTTGGCCTTTATGAATAGAAACTTGGAGACAGAAATGCTGGGTTTCTGATCTGTGAAAAATGAACATCCAGCTACTGGCGGCACAGAGTGTAGGAAAGCAAGGGATGGCGCAGTGTCGTCCAAACGGTGGTGGTGTTCAGGGAGATGAGGGCTATGCTGAATGAGGCACTGGGGGAGTTCCCTGAACAGTGGGAGTTGGAGGTGTGATGGTGATTCTGACCAATGTTAACACCTGGGTGCTGACAAATAACATTTATAAATGACTTTTTCAACCGCTTCCTCTAGTAAACAAGAAGCTGTTATTATCACATTGATTTTGAAATTCAATGTTATAGAATTTTCTTGCTTTAATGAGAAGGCAGATCCAACCGGTAGATACAAAAATGATTAAAGCAACTGAAAGAGTGCAAATGAGAAGTAAAGTAACAATACGCCCAATGCTTAACCCAAATAGACGGGTTTTGCTGATTTTCCAAAAAAGATGAATGGATATCTTGAGATAAAAATATGAAGCACAGCTCCGTATGAATAAACCTGCCCTTTGGTAAGAGTGGAAAAGTCAATTAGTAATGTCATTTGTTGAAAAATCTGCCTGCACCTGGTTCTCATTTGTCCTCCAGCTGAGAAACCAAAGACAACTTCTTTTTATTGCTTATGGTCAAACAGCAAGTTCATTTCGCCATGGGATGATCAAACGGCCAGCCTCCCCCGGCTTGGGAAGGTTTGCCTTTCACTTTCAACTTGCTCAATCATCATTAACTCTGAAAAATGTCACATTCCATTTGTGCAATGAAAATTTCACCACCGGTGACCGTTTGGGTAAAGTTTTTGTAGGCAAGGCCCTAAATCTTACAAAGCACCTCACACATTCTCAAGGTCATTTGCCCTGATTCCTTGTGTAATGACAGCAGCCTAAGATCCCAGAGTCTGTGGCCTCGCATAAGCAGCTTTGAAGAGCCTCTGTGTCTGGGTGCATGTTTTCCTCTCCAAGATGGAAGGGGTTCACTGGGTGATTCCACACAGGCGAGTCAGCTGGGCAAAACCGATATGTGTGCATGTGAGCACACACATGCACACACACACACTGGGATTTTTACCAAACGAAAATAAGAGTCTTCTTTACTGGGGAGATACCAGTAAAGACCACTGGACTGTAGCCCTTTTAAAGCAGAGTTATGGTTGTTTTTTTGTTTGTTTGTTTGTTTTTAATTTCATTTTGTTTTTATTCTGGGAAGATAGCTTCCCTGGAGAAGGTGCAATATCAGCTTGGGGAGGTTCCAGAAACTTCTGGAAAGGTGAAATAGGCTTCTTTTTAACTTTTGCTTTTGGGCTTGAGACATCTTCCCCCCACCCCTTGTTTATCGTTTAATTATACCTACCCCCCACTCCTGTCTCTGCAGAGAAGTTCTGAAATGTAAATCCTAGAGATGTGGCATGGGGCCAGATCCCTGATGGGCACTCTGCAAATAGGAATTTCTGATAGTGGATGTCAAGCAGCAAGACCGCTAAATTAAGAGGTCACTCGATCCAGAGTCTTAAAGCAGAGGTGTACTGAGGCAAGTCAAATAAATTTCATGCCATTTGGCAAGTAAGTCATAGCTAAAACAGGCCCTAGTTTATAGGTCCTGATTAAATTTTCAAGGTCAAACAGGAGACCAGGTATATGAGAGCTCTTCAGAGCTATAAGGCCGAGACGCTAACGTCCTGTTTTAAATAGTCTCCAAGAAGGGCATCTTGATTTCTAGCTTTAGTTTAATGCCAAAGTTCTGCCAGGTCAGCTGCTGAAAGAAGGGGGAGGTTATCAGTGGGTCTGGATTAGAGGCCCATAATCTTGGTCTTGGTCTCTTTCAATTAGCTCTGGCTCATAATACGTTAGAATATTTATTGTTGCTAATATCAAATTTTTAATTGACTGGTAGAAATTGAGGGTAGGAGAGAGGACAAAATAGCCTAATGATATTTTCTGCTCCTTCTAGCAAATATAGGACTAGATCCTTGGTCTAAAGGAGAAATGTGCAGCTCCTAAAATATGAAAGAGTGTCCTACCATTTTAATGGCTGGGTTGAAATGCCTGCCTTTTAAAGAAAAGAGATTCCAATGCTAGGCTATTAGCTGAAAGAAGCTTGTGTATAATTTCCTACAGGATTTTTTTTAAAAAATTCAAACACTTGGATATGTACTTGGTATTCTAAGTGCTCTAGAAATCTTACCTCGTTTTAAGCTTCACAGTAATTTCGAGAAGTAAAATTACTTACCTAAGGTCATGGAACTTATTCAAAGCCCAGAAGGCTGAGTTGGCATCCATTATCCTCTGCACCTCTTTTTTTCCACAGAGACCTCTTGGGCTATGCAACCCAAATGCCCACTTACCTGTTGCTTCAAACTGGGCAGATGGTATATAAAGAGAGTGATGGATCTGTTTGTTCCACTTCACAGGGATGGGAAAAGGGAGAGCAGCTCTGTCAACTTCCCCACTCTCCTCACACTGACTTGCCCTCTCCTGTCTCCTCGCAGAGATCACCTTTCTACTGCTGGCTCCGGAGTGAGCGTGTGAGCGGCTTCTGTGTCTCTCTCACACACATGCATACACACACACACACACACACACACACACACACTTTCACACGCTGCTACTGCTGTGCTTCACTGAGCTGCGCCCGGTTTGCGATCCGGGCATAAGAGCAGACATCATTTGCTCATTAGAGTGAAGTTTTCAGGACGTGCCCCAATTACTGACCTCCACTAACGGCCTGGGTTTGCGCTCAACTGCAAACCGGAAGTGGCAGAGTTCACAGTAGCTGGTGTTTGAGGATGACAGCCAGTGCTCCAGGCAGCTCCGATGGATTGTCCCCAAGGTCCCCGTGCATTCACAGGGGGAGAGCAAGTCCTCTTGGCTGCTGCCCTCATGGCAGATCCTGCACATCGGCCGGTCATTGAAGGGGCTGCAAGAGAAGGAGGGGCATCTGCTGGTCACCAGGCTGGACGCCATCACCACGAGGACGGTCCTCTGGCTCTGGGTCCCTCAGACCTTCCCCGGCAGCAGCCGCTCAAACAGACCCCTGCATTCAGACCCTAGAGGTACACTCTGTGTACCTGGCAGTGGGGGCCAGGGCCGGGGTCCTTGGGCATCTCCTATTGCAGATATAAAGAAGGAGGGGGTGGCCCAGGGCTAAGAGTGGGTGAATGTGAGTAGCCTGTTACTTTTGTCTTGGACACGGATGTTGTTCAGGCAAACTCCCAATCAGAAAACAAGAACTGTCCCTCACATTAAAAACAGAAATTGTTTTGAAATGACATCAGCTGCAGTATCTAGGCAAATTGTGTCTTTCAAACCAAACCAGGACATTTTCAGGTACTCAGAGGTTCTTTTCATTTCTTCTCTCATTAGGGTGGGAGAGTGAGGGGAGGCCGGTTAACTGGCAGCGAACTCTCAAGCCCTAACACGGAAGTGCCATCTGACCCAGAGCACCGAGCTGAGGGCAGGTGGTCCTGGAGCTTTCCAAGGATGCTCTCTGGGACGCTACGGGCACTAAGCTGAATCCAAGTTATGAGTATGTCCTATGGAGACGGCCTCGGTTGAGAGCTCTGCCATTAATCTGGAAAAAGACAAACCAGCCCGTGCTTTCTGGGAAGGCACACGGCATGGTGGTTCATGAGGCAGGCTCTGGACCCCAGCTCTGCTGCCTACCAGTTGGCTGACTCGGTGCAAGTAAGTCATCTCTCTGTACTTTAGTTTCTTCCTCTCTAACACAGGTGCAAAGAATGGTGCCTGCCTTCCCCGTAGGTGATGTGACGATGAGAAAAGATGGCCCAAATCCGAAGCTTAGAATAAGGACCAGCATGCAGCAAACGTGTTGTTAATGGTGACTATTTTCACTTACAGGAAAACTCAGGTCAGGGAAAAATCAAATGATGTAGTGCTCCTCAGGGAAGTTAGTGGCCAATGAAGGGCTCAAACTAAGATGGCCTCAGCTCCTGTGCATACTGTGTCTTGGGAGAGGACTGTTCCTTTCTGATAGACATCATCTTGTATCGCTTCTCATACTGTACTGGGCATTTGGTTTTAAACTATGTTATCCCTGTATGTGCCTGCCTGAGGACCAGCCTCTCTACCTGCCCCCACCTGACCTGGACCCATCGCTCTCTTTGACACCATCTATGAGCCAAATGGAAACAGCCATGGAAGCACTGCTATTTCCCATGGGCCTTTCTGGGATGATCCTGGGAATGAGTGAAGGCTGAAAGGGGATTAAAAGAGGAAAAGACTTCCTTCCTACTTGCCCGGAAGTGGGTCCCACTCAGGGCTGGGAGAAGAAAGTTGAAGGAGTTGACCTTTCTCTAGCTCTTCTTGGCTCCTTCATTCCCACTGAGTCAAATGCATGTGAAAGTTGGAAATAATCTGGTTTATATGACCTTGTGATGAGAACATGTGAAAACCCCTGATACACATGTGCACAAACACACTCTGCCTCACAGGTCTAAGTCGTCTTAGCTCTGTAGCCTGTTCTTCCTGACTAAACAAGGTGTCTCAAGGCTGCCAGGGTGATGGGTGCACATATAGTGACCTCAGTTCAGAGATGAGCAATGATGCTCATCGCCTTGTCATATTCTGAGTCCTAACCAATTGTTAGAAGCTTTTCGAGAGGTGGGAAAATATATATTGACTTCTTTCTACTTTATCCCTTAGCAAAAGCTGTGCCAATCAGCTGAAGATGCATGGGCAGCGTTTCCAAGATACACAAGGGTTGAGTCTATGTCTGGCGGCCACCATGTCCAGGCTGGGACAGGAAATGCTCTGGTGCTGCCAGCAGTCCCGCCAGAGGTGCCTGTGGGCCGGGGTCTCTGCTGTAGGGTGTGGTTGACTTGCTCAGACTGAGGTAAGCAGTCAGTGTGTGAGTGACTGGCCTAAAGCTTCTGGGTCAGAAGTGGTGCTGGTATTGGAGGTCAGGTCCGGTGTTGATACCCACCATACGTTTATTGATCAGACCTGTCCCTACTTATCCTGACAGAAAGCTGGAGAAGCCGAGGAGCATGTATTGGCCGGGCAGCCCATGGCTCTCAGTCTGCCATTGGAGAGCAACACCATAAGAGGAGAGACCTCCAGGGACAAAGTGCCAGCCTGGATGAGCCATCTCTGCGCTCTTTGGAGCCTTTGGCCTCCCTTTGGTTCCTCATTCAGGGGAGACAAGTTGTGGTAATTTGAACAAAAGGACCTTGTAGGGCAGGGTGTGTTGGGAAGGCTCAGAAGTTGGGGGGCTTATGGGGCACAAAGGAGGGGGCCACAAAAGAGGCCCCCAAATGGGGATGTGCCAGAGAAGAGGCTCACCCAGGAAGAAGTCCCGGGCGGTGCTCCATCAGCCAGCGCTGACTGGCACAAGCACCAGGAGTGTCTCTTCAGCGGTTGTGCCCACAAGTCTAATCACTTTGGCTCTGTCACCTGAAATCAGGTGCCTCCTTCCTCCAAGCCTCACAAAGGGCCACCTTTGTTAGCGCCTGGCAACAAGAGCATAATTACCACGGCAGTGTCCACATACCAAACACAGTGAAAGCACCCTGTGTTTTGTGGGGTCTTTGCCTGCCTGGCTCTCTCTGTACGTGCGACTTGAAGAGGAAAACTCAACAAGGGGAATTTGAGCTTTATGCCCCATCGCTATAGAAACGGTAAAAGAGAACTTGGGTAGCACCTCCTCTCACCTGACACAAAGACCTGAGCGCTAATTATGTTCCCTCTGGCCTGTCTCCATCTGACAGAGAGTCGTTGGATCAATTACAGATTTAATTATTTTAATAGCGGTACTACCTCTGGGTGGCAAGAGTCCGCACCACTGTTGACAGCAGCTGCCCGTCCTTGGCCGAAACTTGCATGACATACTGTGGCTGCCCATTCACTAGGCTGCCACAGTCCTCCACGGTCTTCACCACAGGCGCAGCCGAGCTGGTGCAGTCTGGCAACACTTCGGGCAGGTGACTGCAGCGGCTGGTTGTCATGGTAACAGACAGCAATTACTCTGCTAATGGCTTCCACGTTCATAGAGGATTTCCATCTAGGAGAGATCAGGAAATAGTTTACTTGGGCAGGGTGGTTAACAGAAAACGGGGGAATTACAGGCCACCCACATCATCATGTCATTATTTAATATAAATAACAGGGGGAGCCTAGACGCGGCGCCTCGTCTTGTTACCATGTCAGGCACGCGCGCGCATGCGCACAGAGCCCCCAAGACAGCGTGGACGTGCTTATGAGCGAAGAGCGAGCGTGTCGGTGTCCATAAACATTTAGGAGCCCCGCTCTAGGAGAGGGGAGGGCGTGATGGTTGTGGAGCCCGATCTGAAGAGGAGATAAGCAGTTCCCCTGCTCTGTTGCCAGAGAAGCAATAAGCCTTTGTTGACACTCTCAAAGTTACTAGAATCATTATTAAAACCGGTTGCAACTCTTTTTTCTGGTAAGCAATTTATTCCCCATTCAGCTTCATTCTAAGATGCTAAGATTAAAAACAGAGAGAAAGGTGGGGGGGGAAAGACTGGCCAAGTAGCAGCTTCTAGGACAGTTATTGGCCAGAAAGAATCAATTAATGTCCACCTTTCTGACTGTTGCTGTATCTGTGTCCCATAATACAATTATCTACTTAATATATCGTGACAATTAACTTCCTTTAAAAACTTAACCTATTTTAGCCTTGTCTTAAATAGTTATTCATGGGAAGTGATTAGTTGTTTGAGCTTGTTACATTTTTTCTTAATGGATATCGCCATCAAATATTAGAATTGAGTCTTTGTTAGTAGAATACTGCCTCATCATAGAGAATCACACAGAAGAATGCAAGAAATGAGGGTGGATGAGAGCTCCACTGCCTGTTAAAAACAATCCATTCCCTGACACATAGCCTGTCAAATAGCCTGCAAGGAATTCTGTCCCCAGTTGGGGTGGTATGGGCTTGAACTGGACCTCAGATTCAAAGCAGTCGTACCCGCTGGTATGAGCAACAGCACTGTATCCAGTAAGAAGTCTGCATGTGATGCATGAAAAATAGAGATTGTTATAGAAACTTGTAAGAGTTGCATCTCACTTTTAGAAGTATGGCTGTTTCTGCCCAGCCTGCTCCCCTCAAGCGCTGGAGCACAACAGGGCCCAGACTCCGTAGACAGACGCAGGACTGTTTGCTGGACTGAGTTGACATCAGTAAGCAGACTGTATGGCAAAGGCCCCAAACTGAGGGAAATCCATCCCACAGCCCCAGGAGGACTTCAGGAATTCTTCAAAAGCTTGTTTTCTGCTGGCTGTTATACCCAGTTATTAAATAGTACTTGATCCCTCTGGGTCTGGAAAACAGGATCTTCCCAACTTCCAGAACAATGTGCATCAAATGGATGTTCTTAGGAGAACGCAGTGTTTGCAGATGAACTGATGCCCTCCCTCCCAACACGCAGATGTCAGGGAGGCCTGAACATCAGAGACAGTTGGACGAGAAGGGAATCCCCTCCTTGCTGCTGTGGTGTCTGGCTGGCCTCACTCGAGCATGTTCCCATTCCTGTCCTTGGCTGACACAAATCCTCTCTGTGTTGTGGTCTGCTCTCTGCCGGGACACCTTTGGAAGCTGGTGGTGGGGAGGGGATTCTGGACACCAGCCCTGACCTGAGGCATGATGTGGGGACACAGGCTTCTCAACTGCCAGGCAGTAACATACAAGGGTACAATTGCATGATTAGCTTGTTTAGTTTTGCTATTTATTTATTTAAAAGATTTTATTTATTTATTTGACAGACAGAGATCACAAGTAGGCAGAGAGGCAGGCAGAGAGAGAGGGGGGGAGGCAGGCTCCCCGCTGAGCAGAGAGCCTGATGAGGGGCTCCATCCCAGGACCCTGGGACCATGACCTGAGCTGAAGGCAGAGGCTTTAACCCACTGAGCTACCCAGGCACCCCTATAGGGTTTTGTTTTTTAAATAGGATTTGTTGCCTTTCTTTCTTTTTACATGGCCAAAGCCAGAAACTGTATGTTAGAGAAAGTACAGAAAAATACAAGGAAAACAACACAACTCACTCATAACCCCACCACTCGGGTAACCACGGTAAACTTTCGGAGGGGATATCTTTCTAATTTTTGGCAGGGTTCACAGGGTGGAGTTGATTTGTAGCAGAGGCCAGATTTTTTTTTTTTTTTTTTAAAGTAACTGAGTTATGGTAGCTCTCAGGCCACAGAACGGAAAGATGTTCAAACCCCAACTTCTAAAACTGCACCTAAACCCCTTCCCCTGGCCTGCTCTTCTAAAACCCCACTGACATTATTATAAATTCTCATAATGCCTCCCAGTCACCCAGGGTAACTTCCTGGCACAGCTCTCTGGCCTCACAAGGCAGCCATAGATGAAGAGCTAGGAGTGTGTTGGCAGGAAAAGCAGACACAGTGACCTTCTTGCTGCATGGAATCATTATGTCTGCATGCACTGAGAGCTATTTTCGGGTTTTGCGTAACTTCAACTCACAGGACCAAACCCTCCCTCCCTGTGCTCAATGGACCAGGAGGAAGACAGAGGAGGGATGCACAGAGGGAGGAAAGGGGACCAGGGCTGTCAGGAGGAGTTAGACTGCCCCAGTGAAAGGACATCGCTCAGGCACACAATGTCCCCAAGTTCATTCACTTATAACCCAGATTAAGTTCTCATCAAAGGAAGCCATTCTAAATATATGACCTAAATCTGCCATAAAAATTCCCTTAAAAATTCTAGAACTAGAGTCCCCTTTAAACTTATTTTATATCTGTAATTTCACTTCTGGGTGATGGACTTCATTTCTCTTCTCAAAGGCAAAAGAGATATCAAAGGCCATCTGATCCATTTCTTCCCTTCATAGTGGGTGCCGGGCACAGAGTTGAGCCTAAAGGGACAGAAAGCTCCTCAAGCTTGCTTCCTCTTGGGCTATTCCTTCAGAGCTCTGGACCCCACTGGGGACCTGCCTGATGGGTCACTCTGGTCTGGCACTCACTGAAGAACATACTGGCGTATTTGCTGGCCACCAAGCACCAGAAGTACCTTGAGATTCCAAGATTGGCGTGCCCGTGCTGAGTTCCCATTACTTCTAAAAGACCACATCTTGAATTGCAAATGGCGTGTAAAGGCCAATACGGAGCATAGACATCTGAGGTCTTGGTGGGAAGGGCTGAGTTGGTTCCGACCCCACAAGAGCGGATCTCATCATCTCCTCAGGTGGAGGAGGAGAGATGGGAGCATCGTTCTCCCCAGTCCCAGTCAAAAGGAAATCCGGAGGCCTGGACCAGGCCTGGGGCAGGAGAGGGCCTCTGCAGACGCATGCGCCAGTTGGCTTGCATATGTTGCACCTGGGGCAGTGACAAATGGCCCGCTGCATTTCCCTGTCTCCTTCAGAGCCACCTGGGAAAACAGCAGGCGGTGGCTGTGGATGCTAGAAAGAGCTGAGCTGTCTGTTTGCAGCCTAACTGGGCTTCCACTGATCTCCCTGCAAAATTTCAAGCCCCATTCCACTGCTTTCTTATCAACACTGCTGCTCCTGTGGGAGAGTATCTTCCTAGTTCACTCAAGAATTCGGCTCTCGGGGATTTCTCAGGGCAAAAACACCATGCCGGTGGGGGGTGGCGTGTCTCTGTAAACTTGAACATCAGATTGCACTGGTAGGACAGGTCCTTTGTTGGCCAGGCTTGACTGCTTGTCTAATTGCTTTCTCAGGCTGCAAATAAAACATGATTTGGCACTGGCCAAGTCCAGCTGCACACAGTGAAAACGGCGGCGCTAGGTGGATGAGGGGACGATAGCGAAAGAGGAGGGAATGGCCCCATGAAAGAAAGCCTGATGAGACCATTGTTAAGATACAAAAGGCCTGTCTGTTAAACTCTGACCCCTTTAAAGAACGGAGTTCAGGTTTCACCAAAGCAAGGAACCAACCAGGCAGCAGCTAATCGTTGCCATGTTTCTGAACAGTCTGCCTCTGGTAAGTGATTTCCATGGGAACACGGCTGGCACCAGGAGGACGCGTCTGGAGGAGGGAGGCGGGGGGCTCTGTTCACCTCCACTGCCCCCTGGCCCCAGCAGCCCCTGGAACCTCCTGGCAGATTGGAGGATTGCAGAGCTAGGGGAGGAAGTTCTGTTCTCAGAGGCAGGGCCCCCAAGCCTGCACCTTGGCTCGGCACTCACTGGGGTCTATCACTCAGCCTCTGAGCCACAGTTGAGATTTCTTGCATATTTGGAATGAAGGCACTAATACTTCCTGAGCCACTTGGTCGGGGTGTTGGTGAGGCCTCAAATAATAAACGTGAACATGCTTTGTGACCTGGACTGAGCCACGTGTAGCGAATTACTGCCACAGCTACCTTCATTCCTGCTCTTACTGTAAGCTGAGCCACATTTCATTTCTATCTTTGAAAACCATCATCTCCCATGGCTGGTGAGCTTCTGCCATGCTGTCCTCCTGGATCACACTTGAACTCTGACCTTGTGCCACTCCATCCCATTGGCAGGTGGCATGGAGGCACCTTCTTCCTTGTTCATGCACTTCTCCTCGTTCTCCCCAGCCCTGTCTGTTCAGATCCCTGAACACAGATTTTCCCTTGTCCATGAAAATGTTTAGTGAAGGTAGGTGGTGAGAACCTGCTATTCTGCCGTATATCCTTGGGTTATATGTTACAGCAGCCACTATGACCTTCCCTTATCTAGCCCATGATAAATACACTGGAAAATAGAATGCAAGCTATGCCCAAGTTCCTTTTCAGGCCTGTTTCCATTAGAGCTGTATTTTCAGTGACCAGTCGACTTTCATCTCTTAGATTTAGGACAATACGGCTGTTTTGGGGTGGAATCCGTTAGGCTGGCATCTCTGTTGGGGTGTACACATTACCATGGGGATTACAGATAAACATCAAAGGGTAAGAGTATGTGTGTTAGCGGCACTGACCTGGTCAGTCAGGCTGCCTGGCAGTGGACTGAGCAGGCCCCAAGCCTGGAGGGGCAGTCTACAGCAAGCATGGACCTCCAAACTTGACCCACATAATGCCAGGGATTTTTAAGAAGTAGGTTCC